CTCTCTCTCTCTCTCTCTCTTTCTCCAACACCTTCTCTTCATATTTCTCTTCACTACTGTAACCTAGAATATCTCCCAGTAGAATTATTAACAGGGAAATTGGTGAAAGTGTCAAGAACATCAAACAATGTTAAAGAAAGTAGGAAAGAAAATACCGGACCTTGGAACCTGGTGTGAGGACGGAGTTCAGGCCAAGAAAGAAAACTTTGTTTAAGGCGACAGATCCAGGATTTCTTCGTTAGCGAGATATTTTTAAATGTTTTGGGGAATTTCTGAAGAACTAACGCAGAGATCTTTCTGAAACGTATCAGGAATATGGAGAGAGACAATATCTGTGAACACAGGAAACATTTACACTTTGCAGAAAATGTTTGTCCACGTGGTTAATGCATCAAGTCTGGTGATGTAGTGATCATCAGCCCTGGTGGAGTTTGGTGTGTGTGAGTTAGTGTCATGGTGACGACATGTCGCTCTGTGATTGGACGCTGTGAAGACGCCTTCCAGCAGTTTGACACATTGTGCAGCTGCCGAGCTGATGTTGCTGCGGATGATCTGTGGCTGGCCGCCATTTAACAGTGACATCAGCGAAGATGCACTCTCCTCGTTTTCGCTTTAATAAGAACCAGTCACATTTTCACAAACCTTCTTTCATCATCACGCTTTAATCCACTTTTGTGTGTTTGTGTTTTTCCAGACAAAGCGGCGGCGCCCCCAGAGATGCCCATTGTGATCGACCACATCGCCCTGAAAGACATCCTGGGACCTCCGCTGTTCGAGATGGAGGTGGGTCGGGTTGAATCGTAACACACATCAGCCGTCGACTCTCCAGAAACGTGTGACGGCTCCTCACACAGCGGTCATCAACTGGTTCCTCTCATATCTTCTCCTCCCTCAACATATCACTCACTCCCTCATCTCACGTCTCTCTCTCTCTCTCTCTCTCCAGATCATGTTTCACTTCATTTCTGAATTATTTTCTTTCCTTCGAATGATTCCACCAGCTTTACAGATGTGTTTATGTGTGTCTGTGTGTGTGTGTGTGTGTGTGTGTGTGGTATTGAAGGTGTCAGAGCGGTTCATCCTGCCCGGTGTCGCTCTGGGTTTGGCCTGGACGCCCCTCGGTGGGGAGATCATGTTTGTGGAGGCCAGTCGGATGGAGGGGGAGGGTCAGCTCACTCTAACCGGTCAGCTGGGAGATGTGATGAAAGAATCCGCCCATCTGGCCATCAGCTGGCTCCGAGCGAACGCTAAAACCTACCAGCTCACCAACAGTGAGTTCACACACACACACACACACACACACACACACACACACACACACACACACACACACACACACACACACAGGTCAAATGCTGTAAGAACACATTGTGTGTTTGAACAGTGGTGGGGGGTCCAGATCCGTTAGAAGGAACCGACATCCACCTCCACTTTCCTGCCGGAGCCGTCACCAAGGATGGCCCTTCTGCGGGTGTAACCATAGTAACCTGCCTCGCCTCGCTGTTTAGCGGCCGGCTGGTCAGATCGGACGTTGCCATGACAGGAGAGATCACGTTAAGGGGGCTGGTGCTGCCGGTGAGTGATCGCATTCCACGCAATGATTCAAACGTGCATCCAGAGTTTGAACCGACTGGATTGGCCTGTCGTTCTCAGGTGGGCGGGATCAAGGACAAAGTCCTGGCGGCCTACAGGGCGGGAGTGAAACGTGTCATCCTGCCGCAGCGCAACGAGAAGGACCTGGAGGAGCTTCCAGCCAACGTCCGAGCCGACCTGGACTTTGTCACCGCTGCCAACCTGGACGAGGTTCTGAACGCCGCCTTCGACGGAGGGTTTCCTGGGACGGACAGAGCGCACACGCCCCCTCAGCTGACCAGCAAACTGTGAGAGAGCGCTGGACGACTGGACGAGCGACTTCAAGACTGTTTGAGATGAAAAGTAACACACAAATATTCAAACACTAATTCAGCTCAGTTGAATTTTGCTAAATAAGCAAATGATTCTGTCACTTGCAGATTTAGAATTTTATTATCTGTGCAATATTTGTCACGACAGAAGAATCTGATGTTACAAGAATAGTCAAAGATTTAATGAGGAAAACGTCGTAATATTTCAAGAACAAAGAAAAAGAGAGAGAAAAAAGAGAAATTATCTAGAAAATTTGCAGCAGGGGAAAAAAAATCCCAACTTTATTCTTATAAAATTTATTTTTCTCGTAAAATTGTAGATTTTTTCTCGTATGATGTTTTTAGTCTTGTAAAATTACGGTTTATTTTTTCTAAAATTATAATTTTTTTTCCCCTTAATATTTGAACTTTCTCAGAATATCACAATTTAATCATGTAAAATTGTAAATTAAATCTTTCTTTCTTGTAATATTACTGCTTTATTCTTGTAAAATTAATTTATTTTCCTGTAATATAACAACTTAATTCTCGTAATAAAACCTTTTTCTTGTAAAATTTAGATTTTTTTTTTCGTAACATTTCAAGTTTATTTACATAAAATTACAACTTTTAATGTATTAATCTCTTTATTCTCGACATTTAGGGAATAACTCTAAGTTTCGTGTCATCCAAACTCATTTCCCAACTTTATTTCTCTGACTGTTATTGTGACGCCAGGTTGTGATTCTGCTGAGGATCTGACTAACAGCTGGATGTGAGACAGATGTGTGATGTAGCAAACGTACTGACTTTAAAAACTGTGATTTCGTACTAAACCAAGATGCACATGTGTCTGATTGGATCAATTACGTTAAATTAAAGATGCTTAAAAACCAAATTACGTTGCTTTGTTCTGACCACGTTAAATACACACGTGTGCTCGTAAACTCAACTCAGTGAAGTAGAAAAGATTGATCCTGATAGAACCAGGAATAAAATCTAACTCGCACAAAATTCATAAAAGCTGACAAAACAGACTTTGTACAGTATTCAGTATTTAAATATATATTGTTAAAACAAAGTACACAAACCTCGGGGGGGGGGGGGGGTGTAGTGTGAAATGTGGACTTGTTTTGATAAACAGGTTTGAAATCTTCCTTTTTTATATTTTGGGATGTAACAAACCCATGGGCCTCCAGGGGGCGCTGATGGATCTTAGAGGATTTATCAGAGCGGCTCAGCGGATTCTTCTTCTCCTCCTCCTCCGCCACAACATCCATCACCATCTCTTCGTTCAGACTTTCGTTGGTCTCATCGTTCTCCACGGTCACGTTAAAACCTCAGAGTTCACACGTGGCTCATGTATGTTCTGTGTTCTGAGCATGTGAGTCACGCCCTGTCCCTGTGAAACCCCAGTATTAGGACTCCCTTTGTAGCACAACCCCCCCCCCCCCCCCCCACTCTCCGACCACACGTTCCCCCTCTGCTGAATAGAGGACCTGAACCTCCACAAAATTACCCAGAGTTCAGTTGGGCACACTGGCAGCTACACCAGGCTGTGACCACATGAGGGCAGGAAAGGGGAAACGTGGGGAGGGTTCGTCTTTAAAGCAAATTCAGTTCCCAGGTGACACCGTCCGCTTCTTGATGTATAAATATTTTACCTTTGTTTGGATTCGAAACATGAGATTTACGACTTTAGGTGGAGTGGAGCCCTGGATGATCATCAGGGAGAGTTTATTATGGCTGTGTGTGGTTTATATTTCACTTTATAAAAAACTGAATAGTGAACAAGCAGATTGCTTCACGTTACTGAGCCTCAGCTGTTAATCATGACGTTCTCCTCTTTTTACAGGGTGAGATAGAGAATGACAGAAATCATCTGGTGGAAGATTTTGGTTTTTGTGGACAATATATCTCTGCAATCTCCAAATTTTTTGTCGTTAGGATTTGAAAACTACATCGAACCAAACCCCAATGTGGGATTCAAACACAGACCCGCTCAGGGTGTGAGTCGCACAATAACAGAAGAAAAGACACCAGGTATGAAAAAGATAGATTTATTTAATGACAAATTAAAACAGAAATAAAGTCAAGGAGTTGAGGGAGAGCAGCAACACGACTGAGACTCCACTTAGGGAGAAAGGGAGAGAAGATTGGCTTGACCTCCCTCCCTCCTCACAGACAAAAAAAAAAGAAAAAAAGAAAAGACTTACCACACAAACAAAAAGGACAGAGACAAATAGATGAGGGGGAAAAAACAATCCACTTGTAGAGGGGAAAGAAAAACACAAACCTTCAGAAGAACGACACAACTTGCTTTTTAACTACAAACACTGAAGTTTAGCCACAAGTTTTACAACTGCCTTTAACTTTTGTTTTTAAAAGTCATTACAAAAATGATAATTATGATAATCTCCATTTAATAATAACAATAGCAACATCGTAACGGTAGAAACTGTCCCTCATTCCTGGTTGGGTGATCAGTCAGTCAGTGGTTGAGGCCGGCGACCGAGCGAGGAGAGGAGGAAGAGGAAGGAGAAATAAAAGAAGAGTCTCAGAAGAGGAAAGAGAGAAAGTGAGCAGGCTTCCTGCCAAATGTCCGGCTCGCGCACACATGTACACACACTCACAAAGACACACACACACATCAGGACTTATTCTCTCCTTTCATACAAAAAAAACCCCCAAAACTAAAATAATTAAAAGAAACAGACTTAAGAATAAACTCCGAAAAAAAACTTAATCAACTGAAATGCAGTGTTTTTTTTCCTCCTCGCTGTGAAAAACAAAAAAACTAAAAAGAAGACATTCTCTCTTCCTCGTTCAAAAATGCTCCGACACACACTCATTTCATTTTTACACCTGCGTGCACACACACACACACACACACACACAGGCGGCTTGTTACGCAGAGACTTTTGTGTTTGTGTGTCAGGACGCCACTTTTGTGTCCTGCGAAAATAAAGAGATTCAAGAAAAAGAAATCCGGGGCTGACGAAGCTGACGGCCGTCATTAATCCTGACAGTATGAGAGCAGACTAATGACTGCGATGACGACCACTGTGGACCGGAGGGAAACCGTGACGATGTGGGAGATCCAGGAACCTTCGATGCCGATCAAAGGTTCGGGTCCTGGACAGAACCTCGTGGTCGTGGGTGCTACAGTCATCCGGGCCTGTGGGGGACGATTCCAGTCGCATCCGCCCACATCAGTGTCACAGGTGGACATAAAAATCCAAATGTGTGAGCCACAGCCGTGGTTCCGGTCCAACTAGTTTAACGGTAACCAGGAGGTCTGACGAGCACGGGGAGGGGGAGGGGGGGGGTTACTAACAGAAAGAAGCTAGACTGCTGGAGAGCTTCCTAGCGCTGACCGGGAGTCCGTAGTGAAACTATAGTTCGAGCCGTCCTCGGTGTGTGCGGCCGCCACAGAGCTGCTCAGCGGTGAGCGGCCTCCAGCGTCCTGCAGCTGCAGGTGTGAAATGTGTGAGGATGACGAAGAGGAGAAAGAGAGAGAGAGAGAGAGAGACACTTAAACTGGAGTGTTGGGAATTCACTCCCAGAAAGACGTGACGAAGAAATGAGAAGTTTGACGAGCGAGTTTTACTAAACAGCTTCTCAGTTTGTGTCTGTGTTTATGACCGAGAGAGGACGAGACAGCGTGTGCGTGCACGAGTCTCACATACATGTTTATGTGTGTAGAAGTCTATAACCATCATTACAGTTACGTCCTTGTGTTTATTATTCCTCCACTCATCCATCCATCCATCCCACCCACCCCCTGGGCCTCCACGGCTGCCCGATCAGACAGTCCAGTTCCACGTCTCTAGGGGTGAGGCAGAGAGGGGCAGGGCGCTGTGAGGTCACAACATATTTGACCCCCTAAAAAATGCCCCCTGACAATCTGTAACAGTTTGACCCTCTGCTCTTCAAAAGTTCTTAGCACATGGAGATGGTGACGTTGATGCCCAGGTTGCCGTTCTCTGCGAAAAGCTGCGCGATGGACGTGTCGAACACCAGGCAGTCGCTGTTCATGATGGCCGTGGCGATGCCCTCGTGGATGGAGCGCGGCGTGGCCTCCCAGGTCAGGCGGCGCCGGTGACCATTGAGCTCCAGCCGGTAGGCGAAGTTCTCGGCCTGCTTGCGAGTGCCGATGAGCTGCACGATGGCAAAGAACTGCTGGTGGCCGTCGTACTTCTCCTGCTTCTCCAGCACCAGCATGAAGTGGAAGCCGAAGCACGACTGCATCATCACCCAGTCCACCGCTCCGGGGAGGTTGATGTCTGTGGCCAGGAACACAATGTCCTCCCCCTGCACAGACACACACACACACACACACACATACAAGATAAACTGGTTAACAAAGCTACACAATCTCTGAACCTCTTAACTTTTAATTAAGTTTTAGAGCCACAGAAAACCCTCACAGCTAGACTGTTTACTCTTCACCAAAGAGGTGATGTTTTATCTTTGTGAGCAGGATTATACACAACAAGAGAATCAATTCTGTAAAAGTGTGGAGAGAAGAACTTTCTTAAACATTGACGGATAAAAGCATCTTTGTTCATTTCTCAGAGAATAATTAATTGATCATGATGGAGAAAGAATCTGGCATAGTGTAGTGTGTGTGCATGTTTGTGCAGATCCAAATAAAACTCAGGATCTAGTGAATTTAAATGTTGTTTCATACGAGGAGACTGTTACATATGTTACATATGCTTATGTATGACCAGTTATTAAATAGAGGTATGGAAATCAGGCAGACGTGAGCATAGATCAGTTCCTGCAGAGAGGGGTTGATGAAATGAATTAGAAAGTGACCTGCAGTGTGGTGATGGACTTGTGCTGGTGCATCAGATGAGGCATGACGGCGTCCAGGGAGCCCTGCCACTTGCAGGAGGCGCCGGGGCAGGGGCAGGAGTACGGCCGGAACTCGCACAGCTCTTCGTGCTCCGTCTTGTCGGTGTGAGGCAGGGTGACTTCGCAGCCCGATGAGGCGTACTTGCAGGGGAAGAGGACCGAGTTAGCCACCTTTTCCATGGCCAGGTTCCTGATGGAGCCCAGGGGGCCCCGGCAGGTGGGGCAGCAGGTGAGCTTGGGCCGGCAGTTGGAACATACCTGGAAATGGTAAATGCGTTTGTGAATAAGATTTACAAACAAATTCTCTTCTCTACTGATGTCTGAAAGTTCAGGTGATGCGTACCAGGTGTCCGGACTGGCACTGCAGGATGGGGGGTAGGACATAGTCGAAGCAGACAGGGCACTCGAACAGGCTGGCCAGGTCACTGTTAGAGGCCGTGGTGCCTGACAGGGTGGGCACGCGCTGGGAGGGGGGGCACTTGGAGGTTCCTGTGGGCAGCGCGGTGGCAGTCTGGCGACTCATTTCTGGTGAGGAGAAAGAGGAGTTGAGTTTTCAACAGATTCTTCAGCAGGACAAAGAGTGCACTCAGACCAGCCGGCCTTGGTCCGCACATCTCCACCTTCTTACAGCAACAAGCTGACAGAGAAACAACAGTATCTTCACTTTAAAAACAAAATGTACATATGAGGAGTGAGCAGAGCAGACTTCAGACTTCTCTCTGGGACCAAACATGATCAACTTCTGTTCAACATTAGAGCTGTACACACAACCAGACATTAAAGAGAAGTCAGCTGTGTGTGTGTGTGTGTAGCTGCTGTCTCTTATCACGCTGTGCAGTTGCTGTGGTAACAGGTTTGTGGTTAAGTATGGGTTACGCCTGTGAAAAAGAGGAGAGGGTAGAGAGGAGGCCGGTTGAGAAAGAGGAACAGGAGGAGATGAAGAGAGGAGGAGGGTAAAGAATCAAGCATGATGTGTGTTTTGAAAGCTTCAAATTGAAAGACTGTCCAAACGCAGAGGATGGTGAGGAGATTTCAAAAACAGGAAGGTGAGGAGGATGTTTCTCTGGTCAGATCTTCTTTGCGTAGTAGAGGAGTTTGGGTAGGATGACTGTGCCTGCCAGTGACCCCGCCTACTCTGCTACCCGGCATTGTTCATCCTTTTTATAGCCCTGCCCACAAACAGAGGCAGCACAGGGAGACGCAGAGGAGAGAGGGTGAGGAGAGGGGAGAGTAAAGTGTGTGGGAGGCGAGGACAGGAGAGGAGAATCAAGTGGTGAGATAGTGCAGCAATGTGTAGACAGACAGGACATCAGCTGGGGTATAACACACATCCACAAAGTGCTGCCACTTCTCAGCTAACAGCTAATTCAATTATTTAGTAGGAGAAATATCATCAGGTTTATAATCTTAATTTGTGTTATCACACGAAAAGGTTCAGAAAACATCACTTTCCTCAAACCGTCCATTGTTGGAGCTCCTCTTTCCTCCCTCTGTCTGAAACATGTCCATTTAGCTCCTGTCTCTTTAAGGAGACATCGCGATGGTGCAGGTTTGTGCAGAGTGTTAGTAACCATGTTGGGAGTTGATAGATGTTGAAGAGTTATTCATTTTTCTTAAAGAACTGCAGCGAAGAAAAGAGACATTGTCTGTGTTCTTTCCTTCAACTCAATTCAAAAATGGCGTGAATCTGCAGGAAATGCGATGCTACCAAGTCGACCAATCGCAGCTCTTGCGGTCTGCGTCGCCCTGAGACATAGTGACATTTTTGGGGAAGTGCACGTCAGGTAAGGCGTAGGGGTCTGCGTAGGGTACGCGTCTAAGCATAGGCTACGGCATAGCTTCCATGCAGAAGCATGAATTGGCCTTAATTGATTGGCGTGATGGCTTTCAGCTTTATCAGCAGGCTGCAGATCTACAAACTGGATCTATTGAGAGACGCCAACTGTCCATGAGTCTGCCTGACTGTAAACACATCTGCTGTGGTGGAGACACTGTCTTAGCAGCTATTTATAGAGCTTCTTAGCTGGCTAGCATGCTAGCACAGAGGGACCAAATTAGCTCAGAACATTCTGCTAGGCCAAGGCCAGGGTCACAGTCAGCAAGCATGCGACAGAGAAATCTGACAAGGGACTATCTTTAAACAGCTGTCACTAGTTTGGCTAATCCAGCTTGAAGACAATGCTACGATTGTGATCGGAGGGGAAGTCATTTCCTGTGGTTGTGTAGCTTCCTTAAATACGTGTAAATTTTGTGTATATTTAAACTCATGCAATCCATATAAAATACTCAGATACTTCCTTCACAATCAACCTAAACCGGATTTGTCTGATAATTTTAATTTCATTGTGCACTCCTGCTCACACCGCATATATTCCTGGTGTGTGCTTGCTTATCCATTTATTACTTTTCTACTTATGTTTCAATTTTTATTATCTGACAGACGGGTGGTTTAGAAAATCAGTTCCATGTTGGTCATCTTATCTATATCACATCTAAGAACATGAATTATGAATACTTCCAAAACATCTCTTGAAAAATGTTTTAAAGCATGACAGAAGTAGTTTTAAATGAACCATAATATTATTTAGACATATCTGAATCTATTTAGTACATACATTTTTTATTATCCCAACAGAGTAGCCATCTTTGTGTGAGGCTGAGTGTTACCACAGAAGCAAAGTGTAGCACTGCAGTCATGTCATGAAATGCGTGGATGACGAGGGACAATGGAAGTCAGAGAGAAAGTTAATATAACAAGATGATTCCTGACGGCAGAAAACAAACTTCCCTGAAATAGATCAACACTGGAGCTCAACCAGGAGGCCAGGAGAGGGGGCAGCCTTTATGGTCTTAGAGCAGAGAACAGAGGCGCCAGACCAAATCCCAGAATCACTGTACTCAAATGTATTGTTCTGATTCAACAGTGAGGATGTCATCCGTTTAGGAACAACGATACATATAGTCAAACTTATTCTGTGAATTCTGGCAGAGCTTCACGCTCACTGCTTTTCATTGGTGGACAGCAATCTTTGGAAAAGCCAGCTCGGTTGTGACTGATGTGATTAACACATTGCTTCTGATTGGCCGAGCTACACACAGGCTCTTGGAATTTGGGGAGCAGAAACGTTGCCAACACGGCAGCACAGACACCGAGCACACTTTGTCAAAAGCATTGTCCGCTGTATGAAAGACATTTACAATGTTCTTTAGCTGGTAATACAAGACATACTGAACATGGAACATTACCCTGTCTTTGTGCATTTAAAGTCTTTTCAAATAGGTTTTTAAAGAACAATGTCTTTACTGTTAACGAGTGCTTTTTATTTTTGACAGTGAATTCTGTCTGTTGTGTCCCTGACAGAAGAGATATTGTATCTTAGCGGGACCTTCCTGGTTGAATATAGAATAAATCAATGGTTTAAACTTTACTTCTAACAACCACCTGCCCCTCTGCCTTTCTGAGAACAGTTAGAATAGACAGTTGGCCGTGCATGAGGTTAAAACAAGTAGCCACATGCTCTGCTCAAAAGAGTGTGGGGATAAACATAGCATCACTTGTTATGCTGGCACATGGGGGGGCTAAAAATGACTGCCATGATAAAGGCTGTGTCCAGATAAGCAGGTCTCGACACTCATGCTGTTAGCAGCAGGGTTACAGCTCGTACAGTGTGAATTTACAGTTTACAAGGCTCCTGCAACCCGTGGCAGCTCATTAGGGATGAGAACATTTATAAAAGAAAATATACATCCCAGAAAAAAGATAGGACAAAGGCAGTTTACGAGACATTTTAAGTGTGCAGAGGGGATTGATATGGACAGTTTGTTATAATTTAGGCTACTTCTTGTACCATTAGGGTTGTTTAGAGTAGAACAAAATTGGCTTATAACCCCGAGGGAGATGCAGCAGCTTTTACAGAAGTTTGAGAGACATGAGGTAAAGCTATAGTGTGAGTGGAAAGGTGCAGGTGCAAGTTACGTATTTAATTCTGGCTTCCAAAGCAATGACGCTCAGCTCAGAGGACTGTGCATGAGGTAGGAAACTATAAGAAATGTCACTAATCAGAGTCATAACTGAGTCGAATCTGAGTTCACATATCTTTTAAATCTGTGTGACGCACATTTTCAGAGGACATGATTATCTCTGTATAGATAGTTGACAATCCAACCAATGGTTCACAGCATACAGGACCCATTAAGAGCTATTTGGGCTGATTAATTTTGAAATGTACACAAATATGGGTAAGTAAGAATTTTTACACCCTGTATAGTGGAGTTGTTGTATCTCACAATGTATCCTGAAAACTAGAGGAAACCCGTCACAAATATATACCATTGTTTGTTGCGCTGATGCTGAATGAAAGGAAAACAGTTGACAGACAAGAGGACAGAGAGAGCTGTATGATGTGAAAACAAAACTGTGGCACGTGTGAATAAAAAGGCTTCAGATGTGACTATATATCGGCAGTGACAGTCAGAAGCCTTGAAAAGAACTCAAAGTTGAACTAGACACTAAGGAGCTTCTATTTATTTCTTGTGGGAAAATGTGCCTGGTATAATTTATGTGATAACGACCAACATAGATATGGAACGTTTTAGTTGTGCAAGAGAAAATGACTCATGTTGCCAATGAGATCACTATATATTCCTCTACGTGGAACTTTCTACAAAGCAGGAGGAGGGAGTAAATGAGTGAGGAATATCAGACACAACCTAACTGAATGCAGAGCAACATATACTTCCTGTTTTCTGAAATAGTTTCATCTGTTCATTTAAATTAAGACCAAAGAAAAACACACAACCTCTCTTGGGGTAAATCCAAACGTGGGCTAACGATACTACAATCGGACAGTGTTTATGCATTGACAAGGGTAACAGAAACACTAACCTTCGTCCATAAGATTTCCAAGTAAGGCTTTAGTCTTCTCTTGAAATGTGGGGACCCCTGAAAAACAAAAAGGTAAACAAACATGACTTGGAGAAACAAAGCTACAACACACTGTCTGGGATTTGCTGAATAACGATGGAGGAACAGACAGGAAATGAAAGACACACATCTTACTTCAGTGGTTCTATCATTTCTGAATCATCAGCTAAAATCTGTTCACATCTGAAGAGAATCAGATTTTAAACATGACACAGTGTGATATTTACGGCGGCCATCTCCACTAATAGGCTAATATGAAGAGACCAGGAGAGGCACTGTCTGTCATGTACATTTCCATGGACTGAACAATGTTCATTCAAGGCATTTAAGCCACTCACTGTGCTGCTAATGCAAAGGGGCATTAGCATGAGACTTTTACAACCATCGATTCTCACTGTACTGTCTCCACACCATTTTCCCAGCACTGTTAGTTCATGTTCCATTAACTACTGAACCCTCAGCAGAACACTTTGATACGTTTTTACAGGACACTCATGTATGAAGTCAAACAAACTGTGGATGTATAAATAGATTCTGCTCAGATACAGTATGGGTGGTTGTGGGTCAGGAGGTAGGGCGGGTCGTCCAGTAACCAAACGGTTGGTGTTTTGACCCTCAGCTCCACCACCATGAATTTCTAAGTGTCCTTGGGAGAAACCCCAAAGTGAACCTTAAACGATGTGTGATTTAAAAGGGTGAATGGGACTTAGCCTGTTAAACGCTTTGAGTGGTCGTTACTATCAGAAAGGAGCTATTTAAATGAAATCCATCTATCATACGGTGTGTCCATCAACAGCCACTGGCTCTAAAAGAGCTCAGTCTGACCTTGATAAATTGCATATCTGTCATTGACGCTGAAAGTTAAAACACCAGTGTTAATGTGCTGTGTATTCAGGTCTTAACGCAAGATATAGCTAAAAAACTTCAGCTAAAAAGAAGCAACTGTGCCTTTAAAGCCATGAATTGCATCTACAGCAGCCTGCACATTCAATTCAAGAGCAAAAATTAGTCTTGAAATTCACATTTTTGTGTGATAATTATCGATACCCTCATTTTTTTCCCTCAAAATAATATTTTTGTCAACCAGCCTTACTAACAAGCATTACAGTGTGTGCTTAAATGTCTTCATAAGTCAATTAGTAGTTGAGAAATTAAACATAGCATTGATTTAACAAGGGCTATGACATTCCTCGGTAATTATGATTCAAGAATCAACAATGGCAACGTTTATATACAAGCAAATCATCTGACTGGAACAATAATTAATCTGGAGCCCGTGCAAACATCCCACTTATTCAATAAATGCAACTGTGCTCACAGACTGAGCATCTTTATAAAAGCAAGTTAAGAGAATCTCAGTTTACTAACTTTAAAATCATTTTTTTCCAGGCAAGTTTAATACAACTTAAGTTGATTTCAATTGCATTGTGGGACGCTGCTCTCCAACACATACAAAATATTTTGCATTTGTCCATAGTATTCTATAGGGCCAACACTCTATGAGCAGCAGATTTACAGTGAAAACAATAGGGCTGTTGCATGAGAACACTTTGCTTTTGTCTGGATCTGGCTCTCATTTTAAAAAGACGTTTGAATAATTTGTTTCCTTAACGCACAAACATAAAAATTTGACTAGATTTATGTCACCGATGTTAACGTGCAGCATGCACCAACCTGACCTAGACAAAACATAAACACATACAACCACTGACGTTAAAAAAAGACTGCAGGAGTCTAAACATGTGCAAGCTGGATATAAGAGATAGATATGGAGATATGATGAGTGACTGCTGGTTGAACACTGTTGTGTTGAGCTCAGAAGACACAAGGCTAAAGAAGAAAGTAGTGAAGGAGGAAGGAAGCAGCTGGATGGATTTCTGGTCTAGGAGGATAAACTGGTTTGATTTTATCTGAACCAGTTGAACCAACATTTGTAATTATTACAGGTTTTGGCAAATTAAAGCCTACAGCCTGTGCAACACTAACCCCAAATTGAATTGAATCAGCAATAAGCACGACGACGAGTGTGATTAATTAATATTATGTTGTTTGTAAATAGATTAATGGAGCCACTAGTTGAGCATTAACTAACTTGGTAATCACGCGCCAACTGTGATGTTGATACGACACCATTCCCTTTCAGGCCTGGTGACTCCGTGCAGTCTTCTCCGAAACAGCAATAGTCGGCACTAAGAGAAAAACACCACCGGAAAACGGCAAAGAAGATGAAACACAAACAAAACAGATTTGGCACAAGCTTGTTTCATTCAGCTTTGGGCCTCTGCACACTCCTTCGCCTTGACAAACCGGTCGCAGAGGGTTTTTCCATAGTTTCCTACAGAATGACTCTTTACCAACAGTCACTTCAGTCTCTCTCCAGGAGCCATCTGGGAGTTGCCGTGCTGCCTCATTAGTAAGGGGGTCATAAAGCTAGCAGTAGAGGTTGACCTGATCACAGATTCTAGCCATGCGGCGCGCACCAAGTAAAAAAGTTGGGAGGTGCACAACCTGCCGAAATGACAGTGTGCCAGCAGAAATTGCGTAATCTCTGGTGCATGCCAGTGTTCGCAAGTAAAGAAACACTGAGCATGGAACAAGCTTCACTCTTGGAGTACCGGTACGGACTTTGCTTAATATCAAACCAGTTTGCAAATGTTTAGCCTGATCAAACCGCATCAAACACAGGAGCAAAGAGGAAGATACAGGAGATAGATGGAGAGCACGAGTGGAGAGAAGAACAAGCAGAGAACAAGCTGAGCTTCAACACAAACATACCATTCTTTGTTCTCAACTCATTGCCCACTCTTTTCTCACTCACACACACACACACTGCACAGTTTAGACACAATGCCAGATATAATTCACAATGAATGCAGGCAAAGCTTGTTAAAAGCATCTTCTGTACTCAAACAGACAAACTATTCAACATACATTCTGTCTCAACATAAAGCACATTCACTTTTTCCCCCAACAAGTTCCCAGTAAAAAAAAAAAAAACACACATTGTCGACTTGCTACAAACACACCTAAGATGCACTGAGGAAAGGAATTTATGACATTTTACAACACCTTGGTTGCAGCTAGGACAGATGCAGTTATAAAACACATAAAGCTGATTAGGGGAAAAGGTGTAAATGTTTCCACTATAAAGTGCATTATCTTTAAAAACTGCTTCACCTTTAGTCCTGTGCACGCTCCTTGTGGCTATGCATGAGAAGAGGAGTCGGAACAAGGAGTTCCAGGGTGGAGCTTGCTGTGCTACGCTAGCTGGCTTCAAATTCACTTGGACCTGAGACATAGGGGTAGAGCGTTCACGCAGCCCCTCAGTGCCATATTTCTGCAGCCTTCTCCATGGAAACCACACACTGTTGCCGCTGCCCTTAACATACCACAAAAAGGAGGATCATATTTCTTCCTCTTGGTCCCCCATTTAGGAGGGGTAAGAACAGGAGGGTCCAGGGCGAGCTGTAATGAAAGAATGAGTGCTGTGTCCAGACTGAGCCAGATGGGGATGCTTAATAGTCGGAAAAATAAATGCCCACAAGGGGATAGAACAAGAGAAAGACACCGGAGTGCTTATGCCTTTGTCATGGGAATCTCAGAAACCACAAAACATCAAATCTCAAAGTCCCTCGGTCACTATAACAGCCAGAAAAACAGCCACTGACATCATGTGGGTGAAGCAGGCATCCATCAGAGCTGCCAAACTAAAAGAGGAGCATCAGACAGGTTGCTAGGTGCTTATGCTTCAGCATGAAGAAACAGAGAAGGTCACTAATTTGCTTTCTCTTACACTGAAAGGCTTGCATTAGTCCGAGAGCAGTCTGTCAGTGTGTGTGGTCAACTCGCCACTCCCCGGCTGCTCCCCTGGCCACTGGGAACTGAAGGCAACATGAGATATTTTACTCAAGGCACTTTAGATTCCCCTCAAAGCTGCATGATTAAGTTCCACCTTTGTTTCTCCTGCTGCCAAATATTCAGGAAGTGTAGAGTTTGGACCGCTGCAGCTTTTCACAGACATATCCTCTTCCAAGACCATTTCCCAAAATTGAAGTTTTCCCGCAAAAAAAGCTCGAATCCCAGGACAAAAGAAAGACTGTTGCATGAAAACAAATATTTTGTCGTGTAGAAGAGCTGCTAGGAAAAAAATCTCCCTCTACTGATTAGAGGGGGGGGGGGGGAAGCCTTGTTTCCTGCTGGAAGAGAAGTGGAGCTCGCAAGAGAGGGAAAGAAGGGAAAGTCCCGGACAAAGTCTCTCTCTCCCGCTGACTTTTTCTCCTCTGTGCTCTTTTATTCAAGCCATGTTCTCTCTGTCCCCTGGAGTGTGCTAGGTGTCACTGCTGCTGGGTGTGTTCGTGCAGGACAGAGGAGCTAAGCCGGCATCCAATGTCAGTCCAAACAGAGCATGCTCACTCACACCCTTCCTCTTTAGCTCTTGGCGGCACCGTACCCAAACACACAACCTCTTCTTCTGTGAAACACGTCATTTCTCTTCCACACAGATTTTAACTTCCCCTACAAATTTACTTCACCCCCCCGCCCCACTAAACTTCCTGTCTGCGCTCCTCCATTTTCCCTTTTTTCTACGTGCACACTTCCTTACATGCATTCCCTGCTCTACCCTGCATATTTTTTCTTTCTCCTGGATGGACAGCCTCTCTCTAACTCTCTCCCCCACTTATGTTTCTTTCTCTCTGCCCCCTCCCTTGGCCTGGCTCTGTGGGGCTCAGATTTCAGTCTTGTCTGGCTGCAGGCAGCAGCACCACCACCAGCTGCCCTCGTTGACACCATACCTTACTCATTGCATTTTCTTTCCATTCCATCCTTCTACTGACTTCCTCTCACACCATTTGCCACGGTGCAGTAAACGTCTAAATTGTGTCGTTTGAGATTTATTTATTCATGTTCTTTTTCAGTTATGAATGTCAAACTAGATAATACAAAGGAGTCCTATGTAATTCATTTTCTGTATGTATTTGTTTGTTGACAGCAGTAATCACTTCCATACAGGGTAAGTA